TGTGTTGATTTTGTCAACTCACTAGGAGGGGGTGTTGGGTCCAGGTCAAACTCTCTTTTAATCCGTCATTCCTATCCAAACAATTTCGACTCTATTCAGTATGAATTGATTCTGACCTTTAAAATTTTTACCTGAATGATTGATTCCAATACTATCAAAACCAATCTTGTGTCTGATTCTTTAGTGTGTATACCTGTGGTCGACAATTTTCGAGCTTTTCTAGTTCCACTGGATTTCTCGGTGATCGAATAGAGGACCTACGATGTTCGTTTCTTCTGACTTTGATTTCTCGAAAGTTTTTCACACTTCTATTTCATCCCAATGTGAGCATTTTATTTTGTAGATACAGACTGTGAATCCCTTGGAATCCGACCCTTCATATGAACAAGATTACGCTTAATTCGTTTTTAGGTTAATTTTGGTTTTCTCGTTGATTGATTATAACGAAATGTTTAGCCCTCGTTAACTTGTCGGCTCTTAGTACGAACGCTTCGATGATTTCTGAGGATTAACATGAAGTAATTTGTCATATAGTTGTTGAGTGAGGCTGATAAAGATTTGGGGCACTCCATAGTATTTAAGTAGTTTCCTAATTACTTCACCGTCAACGCTGTTGAAGGTGTTTTCAAATTCGATGAAGTTGATGTAGAGGTTTGACTGCCATTCTATGCTTTGCTCGATGATGTTGATGCGTAGAGTCCCTATTTGATCCGTACATGATTTGCTTCAGTCGGAGTTCTGCATTCAGTGTGTCTTTTATTCTCTCAAGGATGCGCGACTTGATATTTTGCTTTGTGTGGACAAGAAAATGATTCCGCACCATTTCTTGCAGAGGCTTAAGTCTCCCTTCTTTGGTAGTTGGATAAGGTAATTTTTCTTCCAATCAGTCGGTACCTTTCCTTTCTTTCAAACATTGCGCAATAGTGGCCTGTGCGGTCTCTGGGTGCGCTTTCATAACTTCAGGAGGAATCCTGTTTCGTCCTGCTGCCTTCCCGACTGGCCTTCAGTAGTTTTATTGCATTCAAGATTTCTGCTTTTGTTGAAGGATTGGTGTCCACTGGCAGTTTTGTGCGTGCTGTTGGTGGGCGAGTTGCAGGTGACAGTCAATTCAAGAGTCCTTTGAAGTGACGAGCCCATTGTTTCCTTTGTTCGTTCTCTTTGGTAATAAAGTTCTATTGACCATCTTTCATTGGTTTCTCCTGTGTTGATGTTCTGAGATCTCTTTAACCTGCAGCCTATGTTGCTTGAGTTTCCAGTATGCCTTAGGATTATCTTTCTTAACACTTTTCTTCACTTCTTTATTCAGTGCGTTGTGCATCGGCCTCATCTTCTCCTACTGTTGCCCATCTTTGCATTGGATCATCTGTCACACTACCCATCTCTTCTCTGTTAACTTCCACGTATATGTGGGGAGTCATTCCTTCTTTTGATTCTTTCTTTTTATAACAGCTGTACATGTTTCCTTCAACTTCACTTTCAGAGAGTTCCAGTGTTCCTCCACATAGGTTTCTTCATTGATGCGACGTAATTTCTCTGACTTTGCTCTGATGTCTGAAGTGAAGCTGTCTTTTCTAGATTAGCCTTTTAGTTTTTGAGTGTTGAACTCGAATTGTGGCCTGTCTCCAGTTGTTCTGAAGGATTTCAGCTTCACCTTGAAGGTTCCTTGCACTAGAAAACGTTCCGACCTCCTCTTCTCAACTCTCTGTCTAGCAGATTGCATCTCCACTTCCTTGAGATTGAGATAAAGTTTATCTGGATTTCAGCGTATCCGTTAGGTGAAATCCATGTCGCTTTTTGTATATCCTTGTGCTTGTACACTCTACCTCCAATCACCAAGACATTGAAGGCACAGAAGCCTGCGAAAAATTCTCCTTTCTCAATCATTTCGCCGAACGTCAGCCTGCCGATTCATGATGAGTTCTCTTCCTGAACTGTCTACTCTCAGTTTAGCATTCATATCGCCCATCAGGATTTTGACGTCACAATCTGGGGTGATGTCCATTACTGTTTACAGTTATATGTAGAAATCTTCTTTCTTCTCTTGTTCTGAGTTGTTTGTAGCATTGGATAATTGTAACCTTCCTTCCTTTTGAGTTGAATCTTGCTGTCATAATCCTGGAGGAGTCTGGTTTCCACTGCATAAGAGCTTTCACCGATGTTGGTGACATCATGATAGCCACTCAATGCATCAGTGTGCCGTGGTTGTCGTCTGGGTGACCAGAGGGGATTATTGACTGTCTCTTGTACTACATAATAATGTAATTTGCGTATTCTGAACTGATTTAGATGATTGGACCAGGTATACGAGTGGTGACCTTGACCCCGAACTAGTGAAACGCCTTCTGGGTGTTTAGATCACTTCGATGTGGCTAGGAAGCACTACTGGTTGATATGAGCAGTGTCTAACTACTTATATCAATCAGTCAGTAGTCTATAGCCTCATGTGATTATGTAGTTATTGTTTATTTCTGATATTACTTTATTTCTATGCATTTTCTCTTTGTGTACTAGTTTAAAGATATGATAACATGAACAGCTGCACTGTTATTGTGTTTTCCTACCATGTTTATATGGTTTAGTCAGTGTTGAATTGATTTATGTTACACCTTTGCTTAGTTGTATGAAATTGTTTTAAAAGGCTACAAGAATAATTTTTTTGTAAGCTGAAAGTTTGTTTACTTAGTTAAATAAACAATGTGATAAAAACTTTCTCAAATCATCTGATACACCTTTCCTAATTCCATGGACAGTTTATACATGAACAGAAGATTAAATTAGTGTTTTCACATGTTTTATGATGTAATAAAATAAAGTAAATTTAATGTCTCTAGCATTGTATTGACTAAAACCCAAGTGTATTTCTGTCAGAACACAGGAAATCAATCGATGCGTTCTCCTGTGTAGCTAGCCAAACTTCTGCGAGTCACGCATAGTCAAAATTTTTATTCCAACAATATCAAAACACGATTCAACGTAGTAAAAAAGCCTGTGGTACTACTATATAACAATAATAAATTGTAAAAGAAAGCGAAAGAGTTATAAAATTAGAATAAAGCAAGAACAACAGTGATTTGTGCAGAATAAAATGGTACCATCATTTATTTCGTTGGTTTCTCATCAGCTGCTTACAGCCTAAAGTTTATGTACAGACAACAAGTTTAACATACACAGAGAGTTCATTTTTAAACAAAAAAACCACTGTATGCATACAATGTTAATAATAATAAACACCTTATCCCAAACAGTAATAATCATACACAATGGGATTTTTGGATTTGCGTAATCAAATGAAAGAGAGGATGAGAACATTCAGTTACCAAGGCAAGGAATGACTGATAACTGAACACATAAATCGGGTTTCATGCGCTTGATGAAGATTGCTTCGGCATACTTGAGGAGAATTGAACTCTTTTGCCTATTGATAACTTCGGACGATATTGCGACGTCCACCTCATGACCCGTGTCAAGGGGATGCCTGGCAACGGCACTCTTGAAAGCATCTGTTCCTTTGAGATGTAGGCTTTTTTGATACATGTTCAGAACATCGGAGGTATGCCCTTCTTTCTGTTCTCTCAGTGTAACTCCTCCAGCAGATACATGAAAATTTGTATACACAGATGGAGTATCAGTATTATAAATAGATTGTTCATAAAGGGATTATTCTGCCACACACCAATTAATTAATAGTTATTAATTTTAGCTGTTTTTACTATACTCTTCAAAGATGAGATATTGCACACTTTGTTATCATATAGCGATTTTACTTCTATTTTCACCGTAACTACTACATATACCACACAATCAATAATAGTTGTTGTCGCAATAGATAATGATGAAATGAAAACTCAGATCGAAGTAGGTTTTGAACCAGTAATCGTCACATCACTGGGCCGGCATTCTCTGTACTAACCTATGTGATCCAGCTGTCAACCTGGTTTTCATTTAACTTCTCTTATGTGAATGAATAGTATATAAGTGTTCACCTACAATTGTTATGCTACCTCCCCAACCAGACTCCACACATCAATATCAAATTGTTGGTTCAAAGCTATGTCAGATAGTCTCCCTAACACTTCTTTATTGTTTTACCTGTCAGTTCTACCCTTGATAGATGCGAAGAGGTACAAATCTGTTAGCCATTATATATCATTTAATGATTAATAATGCCATCTAACTGTATTGTTTAGAGTAGATACTGGGTTAAAATTTGTAGTGAAACGTTCGAGGTGTGTATGTAACAGCAACACAAGCCTACTTTATACTTCTATTCTCCCTAGTTACTTATTATTTCATCATGAGCTGACATCAGTTAGAGAACCATTGCATAACCAACTGGGAGTACTGGACAGCTGTTTCCTCAGTCCTAGTTTGGGACTCTCCAACAGTATGTACCCACCGGGGCTCGAACCCAGGAGCTTCTGGTTACAAAGCAAGCTCGTAGACCATTCAGCAGCCACTGGGACCCGATCCAATGGCCAGTGCATGAATTCTAACTTCTGCTAAATCATGACATAGTGCTACTACTTCGCAATTTCTTCTTCGATGAGTTACTGCCTCACCTTCAACCTGCTGTACCCTACTGGTCACGGCTTCCCACAGACCAAGTTAACTGTCTGAATCGCTAGTGAGCATCAGATCAATTTTCAAGTATCGGTTTTGTAGGGATTTTTTTTGATCGGTTGGACCATTGGATCGGGTCCCAGAAGCTCCTGGGTTCGAACCCCAGTGGGTGCGTACTGCTAAAGAGTCCCAAACTAGGCTAACGAAACAGCTGTCCAATACTGCCAGGTTTTTCCAATGGTTCTCTAACTGATGTCAGCTTAAGATGAAATCCTCCAACCAATCAAACAAAACTTCATACAAATCAAAACTTATTATTTCGTCTAAAGAAAGTTAGAAAAATTCTCTTTCTTTCCAAGTATATCATTTGTAAAAAATCGTCTGATCAAAAAACACACATTCTTAATGATTATTTGTTCTTCTTTTTTCCTTTGTTTTAGTTAGCTTTGGACAAAGCATTAGCATTGAATGAATCAATGAGTTCAAAGAATGAAATTAAACTAATGCGACGTGAAGAAAAATTACAATTAGCATGGTCTTCTATGGTTGATCTTCTTGTTTCAGCTTATTATGATTTAACAGATAGTTTAGCCTATTTTTTAACACGTCATATTCCAGATCACAGAGCTGCTTTCTTTGGAATACACAGAAATAATCCCAGTATGATTGAATCCTCCAAACATCCAGGACTATTCATTTCAAGTAGTGATAATAATAATATGATAACGGTGTTATGAGGAATGGTCATTTCTTGATTTCAACCTCATTAATACATGAAACAAATGGTACATCATTAGCAACGAAATCAATCAATTTGCATTCTAATATCCCTGGGCCTACTACCACCACTACTAATGGACAGGAAAACGATCAAGACGACTGGATTGTTGAAGCAAGAGGAAGATTGAGTAAATTATCTAACTTGGCTTTTAGTGTAAGTTCCTGAGAATATATATATATATATAAACTGACTAACCTGCCCAAAGCAGTCCTCCTTTTATCTAATCAAAATAATGTTTGGTGTTGAATTATGTCTGACTTTTACAGTCTTCAAACTTCAGGATGATGCACACAAACAAACAAATGAGGGGTGACAACAGGATCATTGATATGCTTTGTAATACTTACATTTGCGGATAATTAGGAAGAGAAGGATCTTAGATCCTTTAAACGTACTTCTAAGGCATGCTGGAGATGTGTGGAATCTCCAACATTTAATGCGCTAAAATATGAAAATATCGATAATTTACCCATACATACTGACTCAGTAATAGGCACGGAATCCAGTAATATGTAATACGACTTTTAATCATTCCACCTAATTTTAGTAGAGGTAATTTCAATTAAGTTTTCAGTAATCGAACCAGAAATCTGATCAATAAGGGGGAAAATCTAAGTAAGGAAATCAAACAGAGAGAGAGTACATTACTTATTAAATAAACTACTCACTAGGATTCATTGAAAAATTAATCAAAACCTACAAGAAAATAGACATGCAAATAGCGACTACAATGTGACTGATAAATAATGTAAGCTACTCCACGTTGATAGGATCGTTCACTTACTTCGTGACTCAATGGTGGGATGCTCGCCAACCACGTACGTAGTTTGGGTTCAATTTCCGACCATTTTTATTTTATTCCTTTATGTTCCCAGTGGAACATAGGGCTTCAAGCTAGAGGCTTAAAGTTTTGGTAGCAGTGGTGTTTATTTTTACGGGATAGGGTTGCTAGCGTCATCCCCAACCTTCTCTCTTTATCAGTCTTATCACTGGTTTCTCCAGGTAAAGGTGTGTGTCGGCCGGGGATCGAACTGCGGACCACATGCTTGGTTGGCGAGCACCATGCCTCATCATGGCACCAGTCAATGAAATCCACAACAGTTAGTCTAAGCCACGTAGGAAGGTGTAGACTTCCTGGTTGGGGTCCTCGGGACGGTAAAAACCAGTGGTTGGAAACAATTGGTGACATGGCTCAAAATCGTTCTCAATGGCGCAGATGCATCCACTCCTTGTGACTTATGGTTTCCAATGAAACTGTTTTGTTCTTCGTTATTACTATACATTTATCTCACACCTCTGTTTACTGTCTATATTATGCATTTCTCCTACGTTCTTCTCTTGCTTTGTGTGCTACATGGAGTGTGGCGACTTGAACTGCCGCACATATGTGCAAAGTTCTGTGTCGAAAACAGACAGACATGCCTCATCAACTAAGTCCTAAACCTCGCCTAGTCAACACTAAGCGTGAAAAAGAAGTAAATTCAGACATGAGGCTAGCAACCTCATCTTGTAAAAGAACAACACTACTCCCACTGCAACTTCAAAGCTTCAAGCGCAATGTTTTTCTCAGAAATGTAGTAGAAAGTAGAATACACAATTATTCCATTTAAGGAATAGATTATACCATCCAACGTTACCAATATTAACTCACACTTTCTTCTTGTTTTTTTTTTCACTTCTCGTCAAAGTTATTTATATTTTCCTTGATTCAAGAAAAACAATAACAGATGAATGAAGAATTCACACATTTTAAACCATTCTCATAGCTGATGACAATTAGTGTTTATATAAATGAATAGGTGATAAAATAATGCTGAAGTATGTTTGTTGTCGCAATTGTTTGTTTTTATTACTAACAAGTGCACAACACAACTTGTCATTGATTGATTGATTGAACAATGAATAGTTAGACTAAAACAAGTAGGCGATCTATTCAAAAACAGAAAGAAAGAATAAAGTTATGGTAATACTGAAAAATAATTCATATATATATATATATCGTGAAAAGAGTGTTTCTAAGAAATTTCATGAAAAGATAGCGAATTTTATTAGTAATACTTTGAGTGAAATGTCAAAGAGAAAAGTTGTAAAGAAAAATAATAATAATAAGTCAAATTCCTTGTAATGTATCCAGAGTCAATCAATGACGAACAATCTTTGCTTCTCTATCTTTAGATTACTCGTAAAGTAATCTGATCCAGGTTGAGGAAGCGTGTTGAGCTTTGTAGATTTGCTTCTCTTTTTCCCCCAGATTCAAATCACTCTCTGTCTGTCTACTTCGTCCTGAGTCACTGGATAGTGAATTTGGCTTATTGCAGTCTAGCGTATAGACTTGTACTGACTACTTCATTTGTATTAAGTACTATTTTCAGTGTGATAGTGCAGAATCATAAACTTGCTTTTTTTCTGTGTATGGACAAAAAAATAAGCGGATTCTAATATCTGTCTGAATCGTTAACAGACGATAAAAAATATGCTTGGTAATTACAGGATTTCATAATGAGCTGACATTAGTTACAGAACCATTGGAAAACCAACTGGGAGTACTGGACAGCTGTTTCGACCTAGTTTGGGATCCTTCAGCAGTACGCATCCACCACCAGGGTTCGAACCAAGGACCTTCTGGTTACGAATGTTCAAGTGTTCAATATCAATGAGATGCTCACTAGCGACTTGCCCTATTCAGGTAGGTTCTAGTGAGAAGTCGTGACCAGTAGCAGCAGGTCGGGTGTGAGGACAAATACTCGCCGAAGACATTAGCTAAGGGTCGCGCTATGTTGTAAGTTGCCAGAAGTTAGAATTCTTGGGCCATTGGATCGGGTCCCAGTGGCTTAATGGTATACGAGCTCGCCTTGTAACCAGAAGGTCCTGGGTTCGAATCCCGGTGAAGAGTCCCAAACTAGGACGAAACAACTGTCCAGTACTCCCAGTTGGTTCTCCAATGGTTCTGTAACTAATGTCAGCTCATGATGAAATCCTGTAAGCAATCAAATCCCTACAAACCAGCACTTGAATGCTTAGTAATTATTCTTTTTGTCCCTGGGAATGATATAACAATTGGCAGCTTCCACCCAAATTCAACACTTACACTTCTATTCAGTTCAGTATTCTTTCAGGTATATTGACTTTGTGCTTGTGAAGTGTACAGTTAACACGCATACACACACACACACACGTACACATCAGTCCCTCAATCGAGCAATTATTTAACACATGCTAGTGACTTGTTTTGAGCAATATGTCTTGAAGTTATAATGTTGATATATGATCTAAAATTGCCAGCCAGTTCTATACCGAAGGTGAAAATGATTAAATTTGAGTGAAAAAATGTAGACTTTTGGAGACATCACTCCTTTTTGGCTGAAAATTTGGGTCTTCTATTGTAAAATTTTGAAATTGTGTCAGTCATCTTCTATACAGTTGGGAATGTGTGTCTAGCTGAATAGTGACAATTATTATTATTGTTTCCTTTAATTCCTAGAGGAACATAGGGCTTCAGCCGTGCGTCTCCATTGCGTTCGGTTCTCTGCTAGAGTCTTCACCTGGCTCCAAGTCTGCCCACACGTTTTCATCTCATCTTCACATGACCTCCTCCAAGTCACCCCTCGCACTGACGACCAACTCGCCGCTTCCCTTTCGGGTTACACTCGAGCGATGGCTTGTCTAGTGATGTCACTTGATGGTTTCCTCAGAGTATGACCAATCCATCTCCATTTCTTCCTGCCTATTTGTTTCACAATCGGTTCCTGCTGTGTTGGTTCGCTCATTGCCAGAGATCTCTGTTGCTGATCTTTTCTGGCCATCTGATCTTGAGTATTGAGCGAAGACAACTGTTACTGAAGGTGTGTAGTTTGTTTGAGATGCTCTTTATGACGCGCTGGCCAAGTCTCTGATCCGTATAGTAGCACTGACTGACTTCACATTGGAGTTGAAAATACGGATCTTATTTTTGATGCTGAGTGCTGTTGACCTCCACACAGACTTGAGAGTAGTGACAAACTAAGATATTTTAGTTATTCACTACTCTTTGCCTTTTAACAGTTTGGCAAGTGATATTCGTCCCTTTAAAAATATTGTACCCAAATCAACAGTTCATTGGTTTCAATAGCTCATCCGAAAGATATCATGAGCGGGTTTGTGAAACTGCTCTTGTCGTTCCAATGCATAGATTTCACAATGAAAGGGATATCAGTATTCGAAGCAAACTATATCCGTATTAACTAGCTAAGACTGATAATACATAATACATTATTCTGTAACATTACGGGTTTTTATGTTTTATTCGATTACTAACTTCTTTGTTTAGTGAAGAGAAATCTATTTTTTTTTCTTATCTATCTTTCAGGATTTATGCATTGATGTATACGATGAAGCAGATCGCCGTCTGACAAATTCATTCCTTGAAAATATTGATACATTTAAAGGTTCAAAGCATTCACACAATTATTCAGTGTTCAATGGTTGTCATAGTGATAAAAGCGTGTTACACAATGGTGGTAGTAGTAGTAGTAATAATGCCAAAGAATCCACATCTGTGCCAATACCACCTCCACATAGAGTAACAACGCTACATCAAACGACTAATTCAGCTAGTGTTAATTTAACTTTATTTTTTCTACCTCCTAATACAAATTATTCATCTGTACGTAATCAAGCACGTCAAAAATTAGGTCGTTTATCTACAATTGAATTTCATACATTAACACTTGATGTTCTAACAGAAGCATCAATACGCCTGCTCCCTTTATTTTTACCATTGAGTCATGTAAATACTATGGAAATGTCGTTGAATGAAATGAGAAAGTTGGAAAGACCACGTCATTCTTATATAGACTATAATAACTCTGCTGAATATTATCATCAATCACATACAGTAGTAAATGATTACATTGGCTCTCATCGGAATGTACCTTTACCATCGATACCATCATCAAAGACAACAGATCCTGATCTGATTGACGACAGTGAACAACATCTGCATAGTACGAACAGTAGTAGTAGTCATGAAAGTTTATGTGATAATGAAGCAGATAAAAAGTCAAATAATAATAATGATCACTTCGACATTTCCCCTATAGAGCCAGAAGATTTATCAGAACAAGAGAATTCACAGATATTGACACCATCGTCACCTTCCGTTGAGAAAACAAAGAAAGCCTTGACAAAGAAAACAACCCGTCTAGGTCGTTCTCGGGATGATCCTGTTTATGATCAGGTAAGAGTATATTTCACTTTTATTATATGCGTATTTTGCATTATGTGGTTTATAGTTTAGCGATTGAATTCAATATTTGCATATTGTTGTGTATTGAATTTTGAATAATCAGCCCATTCTTATAAACAGATGACGCTGTGACCTTCTGATTCATTGATCTCGCATCTCATCTGGTAGCTGAACTTAGTTTCCATAGGTGTTTTTCACGTTCCAGACTATGAGTCATATTTATAGCGTAAGGGCTATTGATACCTACTTAGTCTCCCAGGCTGAAGTAGGTGGAGCCGGATTCGAACCTGGGACCACCCACTGACTGACTGAAGTCAATTATTTAAGCCAGTGAGTCATGTCTCCACATGTTGTAAGTGAAGAGTCTGAATTCCCTATCGTATACCTAGACTTTTATGACACAGAAACAATTATATCCAGTCATATATATATATATATTGTTGGGTTAAGCTTGTATTTTACAAGTACTTTTCTAATTACCAATAATTTAATTCAGCTCGCTTTAATGACTCCATTTTTATTAACTAGTCTAAATTGTCTGTAAAATGTAGGTGGGTGAAGACAATGTGTGCGTCGGTGGCAAAGCGTTAGAATGCTCGCCAACCAAGCATGTGGTCTGGAGTTCGATCCCCAGCCGACGCACTCCTTTACCTCGCTAAGCCAGTAATAAGACTGGTAAAGAGAGAAGGTTGGGCATGAGGCTAGCAAGACACCACTGCTACCGAAACTTTAAGCCTCTAGCTTGAAGCTCTATGTTCACCTGGGAGAGTAAAGGAATAAAAGAAGAAAGAAAAGAAGACAATGTGAAAGGGAGTGAGCCAAAGCAAAAATGACTTGCAACCCTAGGAATACATTCTCACTCACGCAATTACTCAAACTTAATTAATTGACGGTTCCCTTATTATTCTTTTACAACTACAGTGTGGGTAAAAACACAGACACATCACACTAAAACACCAATTGTTGTATTGATATCCAGTATATAATAGCAGTGAACTTAGAAGCAAATGAGTCATTCAGATTTTGAGTAAATCCACATCATTTTATCCTGACGTACTGGTTAGTCACGAAAAAAATTTTGAGATAAAAAGGGAGATATGCGAAAAAAAAATACTTCGCGGGACAATTAGTTAAATCTTCGGGATTCGTATGTTGAATTTATGTTGCTAAATAGGTTTGATATATGAATAATTGAGGCTGAATTTTTGTTTTTTGTTTGTTTGTCATGTTCAGTATTCTAACTCAACATTATCAGTCTATGAAATAGTGTGGTACAATCTCTGAGTAGCTTTCGGCCATCTGCTGTGCTACTTGTTAACTAATTATTCTACTTTGTAAGCATAAATTGATACGAAGAAAGAATGTGAAAATAAATATGGCTGGTTTTGCAATGTTTAGAATTTTTGAAATGGAAAATGTTTGTAATTCTATGCGATTGTTTTTTAGTTGGTTCTAAATTGCACTAAAGTAGTAAACATTGTGTCACTACTAGTTTAATATTTCAAAGCTATTTCAAGGTGACTTGGACAACAACAACAACAATGGAGTTCTCATTTTGTGAAAGAAAAATCAATATTTATTGCACAAATAGTGATAATTTTATAATGTGGTATTTAAATCGATTGCTATTTAAACTATGTAGGCCTAGTTCTCTGATGATCTCTAGTATTTCACTATCTGTTGTTACTTATCATTTTTGTTAATACCTGATGACTGATATTAACTTAGAACTTATAAATATGGTATACATAAGGTATTCAACTGCAGTAATATGAAATTATTTAAGATAACATGTACATCAATTATTGCGTAACTACATTGGCAAGAGTAACTATGATTTTCTTAAGGTAACCTAATGTCTCGTCACATTGACGCGTCATCTGTTTCTCCTGTCGCTTCATTTTAAGCTCGCCCGTCGTCCAAACCAGGGGTGCACTATATGTGGTGGTATACATGACACTGTGCAATCACCGTATACTTTTCTTATATTGTCGTCCATATATATATATATATATATATATATAAATGCGTCGGTGGCACAGAGGTAGAATGCTCGCCAACCACGCATTTGGTTTGGTATTCGATCCCCGGCCGACGCACTCCTGTACCTCGCTAAGCCAGTAATAAGACTGGTGAAGAGAGAAGGTCGGACATGAGGCTAGCAACGTCACCCCATAAAACGAATACCACTGCTACCAAAACTTGAAGCCTCCAGCTTGAAGCCCTATGTTCCACTGGGAGCGTAAAAGAATTATATATATATATATACATATATATATATACATATTTATATAAACCAATTATCTCGGTTTGGCTACCTTGATATTTGACTGGAGTGAAAACATTCTGTCCGGTGCTCTGAGTATCAACGTGGAGAAACTCACCTGAGCACAGGTAATGGTGGAAACCAGAGATGAGTTATGCTTGGCAGACACCTCCACATGGCAACCGCTGGGAAAGGCAGTCTGGGAGCTGGTCCCGAGCCAACATCTGCTGCAAGCATGAACAGCATTTGCGTCCAGCTACTCAGCTTGAACGAACAGGCTGAAAAATTCTGTTGAGCCTTATGTGGGGTACAGGACGTGGAGGACCGAGATCACTGAAACTTTGGGCGAGAGAGCAGGGATCGGTTAACTTGTGACCCACGGTTGTCGGATGGCCGTGGATGGCTTGGTAATCCTATCACGGATTGCTGAAAAGGCATTCGGCATGACGAACAGTCAGAAGCGGTGTTTTATACAGTGGGAAGTAAATTGGAGGTCAGGATCTCGTTCTCATGAAGCAGGATAAGCTGTTTTTCAGTGCACAAAAGCTCCTAGTTAGATGTTCACGATCTTGGTTTGCTGACAGATTGTTCTGGGACTTGAGAAGCAATGTCTCAGTGAGTAGTTCTTGGACTACATCAGTCGCTGGAGCAGCTTGCAAAACAACACACGCTAAACAGAAATAGAATATAAATATACACACAATCTTCCCTGCGTATCTGATGTTGCTGGTATTAGCAGTAAACTTTCAGACGCGTAGGTAAACACACAAATAATATGAAGAGCAATTGTTGTGCGAGTAGACATCAATTTGGAATCAGTTGTGGAAGAATGAGGCGATGTGTCAATTTTGATAGCGAGCAAAGTGTGACAATTTAAACCATCACATTTTCGTGCTAGATTTTATGTAGGTTTGTTTGTTTTATTAAAATTATCCTAGCAGTAATTAAATTAGGTTATAATTAAGTAGTATTATGCAATAGCATCATATGGGATACATAACACAATTATATTCTGCAAGTTGTTGAAGCCATATCTTCCACTTGTAACCCATGGGAATAATAATAATCTGTAGCTCACGTTATTTGAAACAGATGTTTCACTAGCTAGGCTATGAGCTTTATACTAACCAGTTACCAAGCGGAATATGTGGAGCGGGACTCGAACCCGTGGACCTACTGGTTGCAAGTTAAGTGCTTAAGCAAATGAGCGTCGGTGGCATAGCGATTAGGACTCTCGCCGACATGCACATGTGAGTTCCCCCCGACCACACTATATCTCCACATATCTGCAATGTATGCGCCCGTATCAATACAAATGTATGGTAATACAAAATTTACACATCTCTGCTATATCGTAACATTTAATCACCACAATTCTTCGTAATCGAAACTGTAAAGTTATCAGAGTCACTACCAACTATTTGCCTATTATTTAACAATGAAAATAAATCTCGTGCGGGATGTAAACTCGTTTCCAATAGAAATAATAATCATAATAGGCTTTTAGAGGTTAAAGTTATATACGACTATAGTTACCTTAAGTGGTTTGTTAAAAAACGATTTTGGGTTTATGTTAAGATTTCTTTCACCTGAAGTCGAATTTTTATATGTGGTGTGGTATATAGTTAACTAAAATTCTCAGAATGTCTCATTTCAGTTGTTTCTTTACCCGGATTGATAAATAATACACCTTGGGTGACATAACTATCCAAATTAGTATAGATATGCCAGCTTTGTAATTGTTTACTAGAACAATTAGAAATTTGAGATGGCTAGGACACGTGTTACGCCTACCAAGCTATCGCCTTCCTTATGGAGTAATGTTAGCTGACATAGAATTAGGAGACGTCAGACCAAAAAATGTGCGTCGGTGGAACGGCGGTAGAATGCTCGCCAACCACGCAGGTGGTTCGGGTTTCGACCCCCAGTCGACTTACTCCTTTACCTCGCTAAGCCAGTAATAAGACTGGTTAAAAGAGAAGGTTGGGGATGAGGCTAGCGACCCCATCCCGTAAAAATAAACACCACTGCTACGGAGACTTCAAGCCTCTAGCATGAAGTCCTATGTTCCACTGGGAAGGTAAAGGAATAAAAAAGACCAAAAAATTGAAGTCTTTGACAATTTGTTTCCGGCCAGTGACGTAGAGGGGCATAGTCGTCTATCTGTCAGGGCTTTTTGAGGCGCTAAGAATCAGTGGTCTAAGACTGTTGGTGATTACGGTTAAAGTCTACTAAGTGGCTCAAACTCATTCGCTCTTTATAATCCCCCAGATTCATTAAGTCTTTGTGTTTCTCCATGTGTAATTATTCTCTCTTTCCTGTATATTTCGTCTCATTATGGTTCTTTTCAATTTTTTTCTTTACCTTTGTGGAGAGTGGCAACTTGAACTACTGCGTTTTCGTGCAAATTTCTACCTTCAAATCCCACTCAGTCAGTTAGTCAGTTAGTTGTTTACTAGGGGGGGGGGGTCTATCCAGTCAGCCACTGCGGCATCATTCGCATTACCAGTGTGTGATATAGAACCGTCAAATGTACCTTATATAGTTTTGACGTTAAGTTTTGTGTGAAAGAAATAACTAGATTGTTGAGGTTGCAAACTTTTAAACCATACAAAGCGCTGATGTATGAAGCTCCTGGATGTTATTTGGACTTGTGTAGAAAATTGTTTGTTACCTGGTTAGTATCTCCTGGACATTTGTAATTATTTTTGAACAGTCTTGTTGA